GAGCTGTGCATGTTGTCTCTCCCTGATTGGGTACCCTGGGAGTAAGCCCTGCATACAAACCAAAAAAGAATTTCAGTGTGTGAATTTATGTAAGAGTTTACTTTTGTTGCATTTTTTATTCATATGTAAGTACAATTTGGGGGAAAAAAAAACAAAGGGTAGTCTGCCATCCCCCAAAATTCCTGTCTCTATAGTCTCATGCCTATGCTGCCTTTTTACAAGTGCCTATTACACTCAAGTGCTTTGTAGAGTATTTTAATAGGTTCCATATTTATTACTAGAGGTAAAACCAAAATCTGTTATAATAGAAAAATTGTTAAAAAACAAGGGCTTAGGTTTTTCTTATTCAGCAGTTATACAAAGCAGATTAGCCCAAAAACAGAGTAAAAGACTGGAGAAGTGGATGCTCCAGAAAGAAAATTACTATTATATTGGAGAACAGAATAGAAACCAAGGAGAAGAAGAAGCTTGTTTGCCTCTCAATCTGAGAATAGCTATATCCTGAGCACACCAAAGAGTGTTTATTGCTAAGCCTACACCTTTTGTGACCCGTTATCAACCTTTAATACAGACAAATCCTTTAAGTCACTCACTATTCTTACCTGAAGTAACTAGATGCTCACTTTTGTTTGGATGACTTGTAAAAAAATCATCACTCTTTAATCTCGCCATCTACCGCAGACTAATTCTCTGTTTTATATTTCAACACAATGAAAGGGTGATAATCCTTATGGTGAAATGATGGCTATTTATATTTTAATTTCTATATTACACTAACCTCGAAAATGATATTTCCTGCTTTATTCATTAACCACAAGACAGAACAAACAGAAATAGGCTTCCTCAAGGAACTCGGTAAAATATATCAGAACAATTATGGAAATTTATGTTATTAAAAGGGCAAGTGAATAACAGGTATAATATTTGAAAATTCCAAAGACAGTATTAAGTAGACAAACAAAAGCACACAATATATTCAAAAGAAATGATTGCTTCAGATCCATTTAGAAAAGAAGTTGTGTTTTTTTTTTCATTGCACAAGATCATTAACTCATTGAACTGTGATCCTAGTAAAATTACAGGCTAAGATGGCTCATTAACCGTTTAAGGACCAACCTATAGCAGATATACTGCTACAGGGTGGCACCTGTGCGCAAAATCACGTGTATATATACGTGATTATGCATTTCCGGGTAGGCGGCTCCCGCTAGCCGTCATTCGCAACCGCAGATGTCAATCACCATATCCAAGCCGATCATTACCCGCCGAACATCTCCAAAAGGGAGGAAGATTGTTTTGTTTACAAACAATCTTCCTCCTTGTCAGCTCAAGTGCACTGCTCGGGATGGCTGGTCACAGTACAGCCATCCCAATCAGTGTTCTTACAGTGAAGAACACACCGCCTGCCCCCCTAGTAAAACACTCCCAGCATACAGTTAACCCTTTGATCGCTCCTCACATTACCCCTTCCTGCCCAATGCCATTAGTACAGTGTCAGTGCTTTTTTTTGTGCTGATCACTGTATTGGTGTCACTGGAGATATCAGTGACACCAAGTTAGTTCCCCCCAAGGGTCAGAATGTCTGCTGCAGTCCCACTAAAAGTCGCTGATTTCCTTTACTAGTAGAAAACAAAAATCCCATTATCTATACCGCCATTTGTAGGTGCTATAACTTTCACGTAAACTAATTAATTTACACGTATTGGGATTTTTTTTTAGCAAAGACATGTCGCAGAATACATTTTGGCCTGAATTTATGAAAAAATTAGATTTTTTAAATTTTTTTACTGGACATGTTTAATAGCAAAAAGTCAAAAATATTGTTTTTTTCTCAAAATTGTGAGTTTTTTTTTTCTTATAGCACACAAAATAAAAAAAACGCACAGGTGATAAAATACCACCAAAAGAAAGCTCAATTTGTGGGAAAAAAAGGACATACATTTTATTTGGGTGCAGGGTTGCATGACCGCGCAATCGTCAGCTAAAGTAGCGCAGTGCCGTAATACAAAAAATGGCCTGGTCATGAAGGGGGGTAAATCCTCAGGAGGGCAAGTGGTTAAAGACTAAGTGCAATCATAATATAAACACAAAAATCAGCACAATGGACATAACTTACAGGATGTATCCTTTGTGATGATGCCTCTTCTATTAGGTGAAATCCTTCTCCATCAATGCCCCTTCCCTCAGCCATAGTCTTCTGGTGCAATGGAGAAAATAAAACTAAAGGGCTGTTACAGGTTCGCATCAAGAGTGCCCCACCATGCTTGCCCTTTCTGGCCAGCTATAGTCAAGACAAACTTGCAAAGCAATGCTCACTACAGGGCCCACATGTCCTCTTGCTTGTGCGATTAAAGTAGGGGTAGACAACTAAAGCCATATTTCTATCAGGATACCTAGTAACTCAATGGCTCACTGTTCAGTGGTGAATAATATAACCTACCACCCATACATGCCCCTAATCTGCACTAGATTGCACTAGGAGACCACTGAGGAGATATAATGATGATCTCTTAATGGGGAATAGACCAGTTAAAAAAATATTTCAAAATCACTGCACTGCTTTAACCCCTTTACAACCACCTGACACACATGTTGCACATACACGTCTCTGGGTGGTTGATATTTATGTGTTCAAAGTGCACTCACTGCATACTCTCAGTACAATGACCGAACCGTCACAGACAGTCCTTGGTCTGGGCTATATAATGGTAGCTCTTGGGTCATCTCACATGATTTCCTATCCTTTATGCCCCCTGGGCATTCAAAACCCAGGGCGGTCAGGAAGAGGCTAAAGGAATCCTATACTGAAATGTTGTGTAGGCTGCCATTGTTGACCTTTCTTTCTGAAAAGGCTTCCTGCTTGTTTTGCTGATCTGATGGCCTTAATACTTTCTGGGTTACTGATCCAGTTCAAAGATCATGGGAATGGAACCCCCTAAAAAGTAAATTAACATGAAACATTGAATGGCTTTATTTTGTCTAGAAGATTTAAAATCAAGTGGCAAATGCCAGGTTCATAGGTCTGTTTAATATTTTTGTTTGTTGCATGAAAGTATGGTTGGCAGGTCCAGATTTGAGAAATTCCTCTGATGTTCCCCATCCCCTCATTGTTGCAACTCTTCCTGCCTGTCTGAAACAGGTGATGACTACAATAACTTCAACAAGAAATAATTCCCACCAGTAACAGATTAAACTCTGTGGAGGCCCTTAGACAGTCAAAACCTTGAGGTCACCTTGCAGGTTTCTGCAGGTTTCTCGTGTGTGCGCTCCAATGGGATGACATTCAGCTAAGTAGTGTGCAGTGTACAGTAAGGATGGTCATCTCCATCTAGTGGCCGATGTACTAGATGGAGACGACCATCCCTACTGTATTTTACAAACTGACAACTGAAAGAAAGATGAGTTTTTAATGGGAAAACTGTAATGTGAGCCAGAAGTCTATGGTTTATGTACTATAAACCTGCTGATCAGCTGTAGACAAACACAGCACAGAGTTCTGTGTTTACAAACACACAGAACTCTGTACACAGAAATGTGATCTGGCTGTTTCTTCTCCCTGAAAAGCAGAGAGAAAAAGCAGCAAGATCTGTGAATAAAATCAGCACACGTTACACTTGTTAGGCACACAGTTAACCCCTTGATTTCCCCAGGATGTTAACCCCTTCCTAGCCAGTGTCATTAGTACAATTTTAGTGTCACTAGCGACATCAGTGTCAGTTAGTGACCCTCCCAGCCAGTATATGTTATTGCCAAATTGACCCCCATACAACACAGTCAAACTATCTGTCGCTGTTTACCGCCAAGTATAGCATCTATAACTGCATAAATTCCAATATACAGTATATACCATCATTTGTAGACGATATAACTTTCAAATAAACCAATTAAACCATAAACCTGGCGGTATTCCCGAGTATAGCTCGGGGTAAAGTTTCAGTACCACAAGCGGTAACCCCGAGCAACACTCGGGCTTACCATGCGGCGCTGCTCCAGGATCTGTTTTTCTCTTACCTTGTCCTGCGCTCCCGCGATGTCCCTCCTGCAGTGTCTCCTGTAATGTCCTCCGGTGGATGCCGGCATCTGTCTTTTGGGTTCTGTCCCCTGCTACATCGGGACATATGGGAATGGAACTGGCGGTAAATTTGAAAATGACAAAAAGTGACATTCACTAAATTCACTAAAATAACATAGTAAAACATTACTGTATCAAACCATTTCACATACATTTTGTCCCGAGTGCTTTGTCCTGTGCCCTGCCTGCATTTTTACCGTTCTTTCTGCCTGGAAACTGAGAAACGTCCATGGTGTCCAAAATGCGTTCCTTTAGGTCAAAATTGGTTTTAGATCAGCTAGAGAACAGCGATAGTAAATCAGAACCACTTGCAGAATTGAGTGATAATGATTCGTGGGGAATTTTTGTCATCAGACACTGAAAACGATTTTGCGACTTTGCTCAGTGATGTGCGAACTTGGCACTATATTTCAAATTTCAGTGTTTTTGGTTTGATTATATTATTGAATTAAAATTATTATTATATTATTATTTTTTATGATTATTTATTAAATTATAATTTATGATTTCGTGTTTCAAATTTTAACAAACCTGGGATGTTTACTAGTCTCTTTTTTGTACAGATTTCTGTGAGTTATTCCTAAAAATTATAGGCCTACAATAAAGAAAATACATATTTCCATGCAAAAAAAAGTACCGCTTTGAGCACAGAAATATGGACATAATCAGACCACTAGGAAGGTTAATGGGATTTTTATTTTACCATAGACATGTAGCTTAGAGATGAGCGAAGTATTCAAAAATTCGATTCGACTGATTCGGCGAATTCGTGGACAATATTCGATTCGAGTCGAATATATTCGCTGTGAATTTAACTTAAAAAAGGGTGTTTCTAGGCTTCAGAGAGACTTAATATTAGTGCAGAACACTGTACCTTTAATTTAAATGCCCTTGGAGTCTGCTGGGGAAGAGAAATAATACTGTCAGTCAGTATGACATGCAGATGAGTGCCGTCGATCTTAGAATCACCGCACACTTCACTCATTTGGCCAGTCACGGGGCCAAAACCAGTGTTTGGAGCCACAGTGTGGCGGTGGAGGCAGCAGCAATGGGAGGCCATACAGCACCCTTTGACAAAATGGAAACCAGCAGGAGTGTGAGGAGACCTCAAAGTGGCACATGGCAGAGTGGGAGCAATGGGAGGCGGTACAGGGACCCATGTCACACTGTGGACCCAGCAGCAGCGTGACGAGGCGGTACGGGGGCCCATGGCAGATTTGGGGCCTGGCAGCACCTATGGGAGGCCTGTAATCTGGAGCAATGGGAGGCGGTACAGGGACCCATGTCACACTGTGGACCCAGCAGCAGCGTGAC